TAGCTCAGCCAATCAGAGCACTGCATTTGTAATAGACCACTAGTAGCTCAGCCAATCAGAGCACTGCATTTATGATAGACCACTAGTAGCTTTGCCAGTTGTGATGTAGGCTTCTACTATTAACTCACTGAATATGTTTCTTGTAATCTCTCTAACTCTTGATATATGTTTATATATTATTTTTATTAGAGCGCAGTCATTATACCCAAGCAAAATCAAAAAAAGTTACTATCATCTAATTGTTTTTATATATCGACAAATAGTAAACATTACTCATCCACAACATCAATTTTTTTTCTCATGCATGGAGACATTGAACCAGCACCTGATATACTTTCATCACTTTATTTTTTAGGGAACTACATGTAATCAAGGTTTATTCAGGTGCGATTAAACATGAATGCATGGTTCATTGTAAATATTCGTGTGTGAATTCTGAATCAGCATGTTATTTTTCATTTATTTACTAAGTTTGCATTAAGCCGATATTGGTGGTTGTTAAAGGTTCTAACTAATTTGATTATGTCGCACAGGGATAACGACTGCACTTTAAGCCCCTAAATTTGGAAGAAAATGTATATTTTCATTGGTAATAAAATGATTTCAATTAATTGTTGAATAATAATATATGTTATGTCACACTAATATATTAACATAATAATAAAAGAATACTGTTAACTAACCAGCTGGGCCAGATTAGTGCTTATCCTGGATTGAATAACAGACTTTGGTAGTGTTTCTAATCAACTCTGGAGAAGCACAAACTTACCCCCCTACTCAGACATTCTTTTACGACAGTCATGTTGTCACATAACATTTATCTTTGAAAATTTGCATGGCAACCCTAAGGATTTAGGTTAGATAGGAGGTTAACACTGACCATGTACCCCATTCATCAAAAGTCCTTATTACTAATCTATCTATCCAGCCACCCAGCCAGTATTGGGTGTCTTAGCTTCATCACTGCTTCAGTAATCACAGGGCATGGCAGATATTGGTACAAACAGATCACTTGTTCGAATCCTACAAAAGAAAGAGGAAAGTGATTATGGTGTTTTCATGTAGCACAAGCTGTAGTGTCATTCTGAAACAATCATGGAATAATGGAACAGTATTGAACTTACCAATTTTCTGATGACACATTGATTCTAGAATCAGAGTTGGTATCACTTGACTGAGATAATTGATTTGATGAGTTCTGTTTTAAATAAGGTCTTCCAATCTTTAAAATGCCTGCGCATAAAAAGCGCCCCATTTCTTCATGTTCACGTGTACCAATATGATAGCCCTGTATTAGCAAAGCAATAAAAAGAAATGCATTTGTGTTACTCTTTTAGCATGTGAGGTTTTGATGAATTTGTGTGAAAACTAAGTGACAGTTAGAGGGCACACTTTGAATTTACCTTATACGGGCCTTGATCACACCCACAATAAGTACTTTCCATTGTATAGCTTCTTATGACGCCAATTTCTCGCCAAACAACTACACGTGCTGTAGATTCTTTTGACGGCTCTACAAGAAAACTACAACTACCCATGCTGAATGTTGGTGCAATGTTATGAAGAACTCTTGGCAATGACTGTTAAGAAAGAGTATGACATACAATAAATAAGGTTATCAATGACTGACAGTCAACTATTAAACGATATTGTACTACATCCAGAAAACCAATCACATTGCGCGAGAACGTTACTTCAACTTCACATTAGAGCTCGTCACACTAAATCTATTGTGATGCTTGAGTGTTTCATTACCCTGTATTCTGCATCTTCAAGTACATCACTAGCATCCATACTGCTTGATGAATCTGTCTCAGACATTTGTAGGCCACTACGTTCCGTATTCCTGTTACCTGCTTCTACTTCTACTGAAGAACTTAAAGATGATGGTAAGGTTCCTGCTTTATTACAACCATACATAAACACATTCTTTTTCCTAGAGTGGCCATGAAAATCACAGTAAACCTGCAAACCATAAGGAAAACATTACATGATAATGAACTGCTAACGAAATTTAACGCCAGACTATGCTTACAATAGGCGGTTTGTTGATATTCTTCAAGTACTGCAATAACCCCTTGGTATGGTATATAATAGGATGCAAGATCATACTAGGGTTCAACCATTGTCGGTTCAGATCATCTCCTGATAATGAACAACGATGACTGGGGAAAAAAGAAAAACCGCACTCTTCAGTAATTTGCTCAGTGCCCGCATACAATTCACCAAGACCATGACAAAGATTACAAGAATAGTTTTGATTCAAATGTTATTATTAGCACAAAATATGGGTCACGAAGGCCAACTGCTTACCTTCCATTGACCACCCCGTCTATATTTAGCATTGGTACTATCTTGAAGATAAATCTGTCCCTTAAATTCTTGGCCGTGTAGTAGTCACTGGTTAGAAAATCCAATACGCCTAAACACCAATAAACACTAGTCAATCCTGGCTGTACCAACGAATATGTGTTATAATGGTTATATGATACAGCTACTCACCCTTCATTACCCAACTAGAGTTGGTCTCACTGGGATGTACACGAGACGTCAGAAAAACATAAGGCCGGTCTCCTACAAAGATAAAATAATCAACATGAAATCATAAAGGTATCCCGACTCCTGGCAGATAATATTTTGATAAGAACTTACGAAATGCCTTGAGTGACAGATCATCCCTAGAGCGAGGTGCTGCTGTAATGGTAATTACGTTACATGGGTTACCAGCCAGGGTGTGGCATAAAGTGGCACGATGGAAGAATATATCTCTATCAACAGATGCCTCCAGATGAGATAAGTGCTCCTATGATACAGACATAAGGTTTATTATGACACAACTTGCCRTATAGTATGTTATCTATTTACATATAATAGTAATACTGGCTGTACCTGTAGCATGGTATAGGAGTATGGGTAATGGTAAGCCAGATAGCATGTGTCTTCAGAGTAAGGAAATCGTATAGTAAAAGTCGTAGTAAAGTAAGTTTTGCCTCCATGGTTGTCTCCAACACGACAGTATTGATTCCTGTAGTAACATATATTTGTTCCTGTTCTTATCCATCCTGGTTGTCCAGCTAATGCTTCCTGGGTGCTGTACATTACTGGCTGCATTCCTGTATAAAGAGATAGATATGATTTATGTGCCAAGGAATTATATTCATCTTTCACTACAAGACGTTCTTGCATATCAAGTCAATGAAGGAAGAAAGATAGAACAAGAATGTAAGCCTTACCAAAATTAAATTGGCTGTTGACTTTAAAACAATTGAGAATGTTGAATTTGTAGGGAACATCAGCTTCCATGTTACTGACCTGAACAATAAGAATATATGAGGTTAGAAGGAGCGAGGGAATAATATGATTTATAACATCATGTTAGCATACCTCAAAATAGAACCATTGATGATATCTTCGATTGTTGATGTCAGAACTCAGGATCAGGTCATATTCATGCTCTCTCACCTAAAAATAAAGAATGAACATTAAATATTAAAGATGCAAAATGATTGGTTGTTTCATCTACTCACCTGAATTGCTTTTCGTAAATTGCCACATTCGAATCTTGACTCGAACTTTAAGGACCTGCTTCCATCATCACTTGACATTCTGTCCAATTCTGATGAGCTGATGAAAAATGACACTGTAAGACTACAGATATCTATTAGTAATAATTAATCTATTATTGCTAATAACTAACCTTGAGCTGCTACTTGTGCTGCCTTTTCTGGACAGGTTTTCCCTGGTTTTGGTTGGTTCTTTTAGGTTGGTATTTGATTCAGCTCCATTCTCCTTTAACAACTCATCCAAATCAAACACCACTCTTTCCAGTACTTTTTTTGGTTGAATCACTCTTTCAATGTCCTGCAAAATCATTGTCCTGGAAACAAAAGATTGCATACCACCAGCTTTGAGTATATTTACATTCTATTTTGAAGCATGCTTACATGAGTTTTAGTATGTTCAAAACCATACCTTTGAAGACTACTTTTCTTTGGTCTAAGTGGTTCTTGTTCAGTAGGTGGATAATGGCCGTATATTTCTGGGGAAGCCTGTTTAATGATGGGTAGAACACTGTGAAGATTTTCAGCAGCAGATGAGCTTCGACTTGTGATGTGTGACTGGTTACCAAGCTTCTCTTGACTTGTGCATTCTCGAGGTGACTGTGAAGAACTAAAAACAACAACATTAAATTGTCATGTCTTGTCAACAGGTTTTGGGTAAACTGAAGGGTTTTGAGCATACTCATATAAATTTACTTAATACCTTGAACCACCATCTTGTAGCACATTGTTTGAAAAAGAATCCGGACCCGAATATAAATTAGAAAGACTTGACAAAGGGCTTAGCGGATCATCAGAAGCGGTTGGGATCATGATAGCATCACCTAAAGTAGAATGACTGTACATGGAATCATCATTTACAACCTGCAAACAACAAAGATTCTAAGTAACATAGACCACCAACAGTTGGGCTCAGTGTGGGATTCCAGCCGGTAATTTCAAACTGAGCAGCATAAGTGTACCTGATATTCCACTTGCTCAGGGAAGAACTTCTCATACATCTGCAAATCATCTCGTCCCTTCTGTTTTCCCTCTAGTTGTATGTTCTCTTCATCTCCATTTTGAACTTTACTGGATGTTTCTTCTTTGTCTTCTTTAACAGAACTACTCAACTCGTCTTCAGATTCCAAGTCTGATGACTCGTCTTCCTCTTCTCCACTGTCTCCTTCAGCATCATCTTCTGCTTCCACTGTATGGTTAAGTGCACTGTCTAAATCCAGTAGAGGGAATGATAGCGGAGAGGAATAGCAGGGAATGGGAAGTTTGTTGACAGGGAAACATCGTCTGAGAATTTGGCTGCAGATAGTGTTGACACCATCAAGTTCATGACCTGGAGAAATAGATCAAGACCATATATATACATATATATCACATGCTGATGACATAGATCAAGACCATATATATACATATATATCACATGCTGACCACATAGA